AGGAAATATTTGCCTCAACTAATTCACCTGGCAGCTCCCCACACCTCGCCCTTCATTCCACAGCTGCACACACACCTGAACACACACCAATGCCGAGTCTCAAATGAATTGCTAGTACTGTGTATACAAGAACAGCTTTTTTAAGTGCATAATGTCTCAATATGTCAAATGTCTGTCAAAATGCACCATTAGTACCGGATATTTCTCTCATAACGGTAAAAAAGTTGAACGTGGAACGCTGGACACTTCTCACACTCAACGACTACCATCTTGGCTACGTAGCTAATGTTAAATGTGGTGATCATTAGGATAATCTCCACATATTAACACCACTTTGTGATTTCTGAAGTAAAAAGCTAACGTTAGGCTAAAAAGGAACTACAATTTGCTTCGGGATAAATAAAGTACTATCTTATCTTATCTTACAACAAGGTCATATGACTTCACCACCGCTAAGCTAAAGGAGGTTAATGTTGGGCTATAAAGGAGCTACAGCACGGTCAGATGACTTCACGTCACTACCGCTAAGCTAAAGGAGGCTAATGTTGGGCTATAAAGGAGCTACAGCACGGTCACATGAATTCACGTCACCACCGCTAAGCTAAAAGTGGCTAATGTTGGGCTATAAAGGAACTACAGCACGGTCACATGACTTCACGTCACCACCGCTAAGCTAAATGTGGCTAATGTTGGGCTATAAAGGAACTACAGCACGGTCACATGACTTCACGTCACCACCGCTAAGCTAAAGGAGGCACGAAAAAAAATCGTGCTGTGCAACACGAAAAAAAGGGGCAAATCGTGTTGGGGAACACGAATCAATAGATTAAAAATCGTGTTGGTGAAAATGAAATGCCGTGAGACTGGGTTGCACCGCTGAGCTAAAGGCGGCTAATGTTGGGCTATAAAGGAACTACAGCACGGTCACATGACTTCACGTCACCACCGCTAAGCTAAAGGAGGCTAATGTTGGGCTATAAAGGAGCTACAGCACGGTCACATGACTTCACGTCACCACCGCTAAGCTAAAGGTGGCTAATGTTGGGCTATAAAGGAACTACAGCACGGTCACATGACTTCACGTCACCACCGCTTAGCTAAAGGCGGCTAATGTTGGGCTATAAAGGAACTACAGCACGGTCACATGACTTCACGTCACCACCGCTAAGCTAAAGGAGGCTAATGTTGGGCTATAAAGGAACTACAGCACGGTCACATGACTTCACGTCACCACCGCTAAGCTAAAGGCGACTAATGTTCGGCTATAAAGGAACTACAGCACGGTCACATGACTTCACGTCACCACCGCTAAGCTAAAAGTGGCTAATGTTGGGCTATAAAGGAACTACAGCACGGTCACATGACTTCACGTCACCACCGCTAAGCTAAATGTGGCTAATGTTGGGCTATAAAGGAACTACAGCACGGTCACATGACTTCACGTCACCACCGCTAAGCTAAAGGTGGCTAATGTTGGGCTATAAAGGAACTACAGCACGGTCACATGACTTCACGTCACCACCGCTTAGCTAAAGGCGGCTAATGTTGGGCTATAAAGGAACTACAGCACGGTCACATGACTTCACGTCACCACCGCTAAGCTGAAGGAGGCTAATGTTGGGCTATTAAGGAACTACAGCACGGTCACATGACTTCACGTCACCACCGCCTAAGCTAAAGGCGGCTAATGTTGGGCTATAAAGGAACTACAGCACGGTCACATGACTTCACGTCACCCACCGCTAAGCTAAAGGAGGCTAATGTTGGGCTATAAAGGAACTACAGCACGGTCACATGACTTCACGTCACCACCGCTAAGCTAAAGGCGGCTAATGTTGGGCTATAAAGGAACTACAGCACGGTCACATGACTTCACGTCACCACCGCTTAGCTAAAGGTGGCTAATGTTGGGCTATAAAGGAACTACAGCACGGTCACATGACTTCACGTCACCACCGCTAAGCTAAAGGAGGCTAATGTTGGGCTATAAAGGAACTACAGCACGGTCACATGACTTCACGTCACCACCGCTAAGCTAAAGGCGGCTAATGTTGGGCTATAAAGGAACTACAGCACGGTCACATGACTTCACGTCACCACCGCTAAGCTAAAGGAGGCTAATGTTGGGCTATAAAGGAACTACAGCACGGTCACATGACTTCACGTCACCACCGCTAAGCTAAAGGTGGCTAATGTTGGGCTATAAAGGAACTACAGCACGGTCACATGACTTCACGTCACCACCGCTTAGCTAAAGGCGGCTAATGTTGGGCTATAAAGGAACTACAGCACGGTCACATGACTTCACGTCACCACCGCTAAGCTAAAGGAGTCTAATGTTGGGCTATAAAGGAGCTACAGCACGGTCACATGACTTCACGTCACCACCGCTAAGCTAAAGGCGACTAATGTTCGGCTATAAAGGAACTACAGCACGGTCACATGACTTCACGTCACCACCGCTAAGCTAAAAGTGGCTAATGTTGGCCTATAAAGGAACTACAGCACGGTCACATGACTTCACGTCACCACCGCTAAGCTAAATGTGGCTAATGTTGGGCTATAAAGGAACTACAGCACGGTCACATGACTTCACGTCACCACCGCTAAGCTAAAGGCGGCTAATGTTGGGCTAACGTCTCAGACGAAAACAATACTAATTATTAAAACAACAAGGACGGGACAGTATTTGACATAACAAGGAAGGAAATGAAATGATTGAGAGGACTTAAGGTGTGTAGCTGAAGACACACCTCAGGAGTACAAAGATGAAAGAATGCGTCAATATAAACTCTGAAGGTCCCGACAAATATTTTAAATGTCATCGTTAGTGTATGCTGCTAATTGTTCACGGAGGTTGCTCAATCTGTCAAACAGCAGCCTTGCCTAAAGTAGTGATTTAAAACGAGAAGAAGAAATTGAAGATTTGCTTAATTTATCCTGCATGGGGGAATTCAATGTAATTATCTCCAGTTATAACAAACTATAGCTTTTCAATATGAATTTAATTCAAATTAATAGTGTAGTGCACCTGTAGATTAGATCTTAAACCTTTCTTTCATTAGTTAAAAAGTAAACAGCAAGTACGAGCACAGTGAAAGTATTTTAAACAATAAATGATAGTGGTATTAAATCATATACGGCTGACAGTCCTCTCTGAGCTACAGCAGTAATTACAGGTATTACTCAGGTATTCTCACGACAGTTTCAAATGGCACCAAGTCACAACACACACACACACACACACACACACACACACACACACACACACACACACACACACACACACACAACACACACACACACACACACACACACACACACACACACACACACACACACACACACACACACACACACACACACACACACAACACACACACACACACACACACCACCATGTTTCCGTGTGAAGAGCTAACATCCTCTCACACATCATATTTTAATCCCAGGCTTAAACATCATGACAGCCTCACTGACAAACACCACTTCTGCTGCCCAGTGCTGTTTTAGTACATGACCATTGCATGTATGATATGTGTAATGTGTATTTGTAAAGCGCTTTGAGCATCTGGAAAAGCGCTATAATAAATGTAAGGAATCATTATTATTATTATTTTTAGATTTGCAATCCAGACATTTCAACTTTAATAAAGCTGTGGGACTTGCAGGGGACAGACTGAATACAAACTGGTCCAAACTGCATCAGAGACTCTTGGACTGCAGTTATCATAACCTCAATAACATGTTTTATTATACTTTCCATCTTAATGCTAATGTCTCTTAAGCTTCTTCCAGGTTCCAGGGTTGCTGTTATATATTTGAAGTGTTCGGTGCAAACTCAGACTCAACAGAGCTCCAACAGAAGATATTACACAAGTGTTTTCACAGGCTGAGGAGTGCTAACGATGACGAGAACACTCGTCTTCTGTGAGTCTGTTAAGTCTAATTTTACTGGACATAATGGATCACATTCTGATCGTACAATGAGTCATTGTTGTGGCTCTCAGATTTATTTTTCAAAGTTTTGCAGGCCTTCTGTTTCTAACTATTTAGTTTGGTAATGAGGCATTTTTGTACGGAGGCTGACAGCTGGGGAAACACGCTGCAGCTTCAGAGAGGATGCAGATACAGAAACCCAAAGGTTCCACATGAAGAAACATCTTCAGCAACTTGACAACACCTGCAGCGTTTAGAGAACATTCAGCAGCTTGAGGAGACCAGGGGACACTAAAGAGTGACGCACACAGCTGGAGACAAGGGGACACTAAAGAGTGACGCACACTGCTGGAGACCAGGGGACACTAAAGAGTGACGCACACAGCTGGAGACAAGGGGACACTAAAGAGTGACGCACACTGCTGGAGACCAGGGGACACTAAAGAGTGACGCACACAGCTGGGAGACAAGGGGACACTAAAGAGTGACGCACACAGCTGGAGACCAGGGGACACTAAAAAGTGACGCACACTGCTGGAGACCAGGGGACACTAAAGAGTGACGCACACAGCTGGGAGACCAGGGGACACTAAAGAGTGACGCACACTGCTGGAGACCAGGGGACACTAAAGAGTGACGCACACAGCTGGGAGACCAGGGACACTAAAGAGTGACGCACACAGCTGGAGACCAGGGGACACTAAAGAGTGACGCACACAGCTGGGAGACCAGGGGACACTAAAGAGTGACGCACACTACTGGGAGACCAGGGGACACTAAAGAGTGACGCACACAGCTGGGAGACCAGGGGACACTAAAGAGTGACGCACACAGCTGGAGACCAGGGGACACTAAAGAGTGACACACACAGCTGGAGACCAGGGGACACTAAAGAGTGACGCACACAGCTGGGAGACCGGGGGACACTAAAGAGTGACACACACAGCTGGAGACCAGGGGACACTAAAGAGTGACGCACACAGCTGGGAGACCGGGGGACACTAAAAAGTGACGTAAATGCATAGTGATTATAAGTGTGTGTGTGTGTGTGTGTGTCTCACCTGTATGACCCTGCGATGACCTCTTCACAGTCGATGATCAGGAACTTCTCGAGGACCTGACCGGTGAACTTCTTGCCGCTCTTTGTGCAGTACGTGTCCCCACAAGTAGTGCGAATACGCATATTCTGCGCACACACACACACACACACACACACACACACACACACACACACACACACACACACACACACACACACACACACACACACACACACACACACACACACACACACACACACACACACACACACACACACACACACACACACACACACACACACACACACACACACACTAAGCTGAAGGCATAGGAGCATATTTCTGTTGCATTACAGTTAGCAGAGGATCCTGTGTGTGACGGATGATTCATAACTGGGAACATACAATACCATCTGTGGAGAACACTGGTGTGCGTGTGTGTGTGTGTGTGTGTGTGTGTGTGTATGTGTGTGTATGTGTGTGTGTGTGTGTGTGTGTGTGTGTGTGTGTGTGTCTAAAGTCCTCTTCTCTAATGTATGATCCATAAATACGTTTTAACACTTATACCCCACATATTCTACTTCTCTGTATCACATGTTTACTTTTATTTGTATAAACTTCTTTATTTTTAACCCTTTCAACTTTTGATATTTATATGAATATTTTTTATTTAATTTAATTTAACTTGTTTATATAATTTGCAGATTTCTACTCCAACTTCTTATTTGTATATACGTTTATTTAAATAAAGGTTGTCTTTATTCTATGTTTTATTTTAGGTTCTTATTTATATTTAAATATCCTTATTCTGATATACTGAATATTTTTATTGCACATTCATATTTTAACTTTAACTTTAGGAAATGTTCAGAGATGTTTGGGAAACTCAGAGAGCTGGTTTCTTTGAACAGACTCAAGGCGACTCTTAGATAGGAGCATGCTTATCATTTGTCCCACGCATGTAGCCGATGTCCCGCATTTGATTGACAGTCGCCCGTCTAAAACAAGGCTTTCATACGAAGGTGTGTAGAAAATGAGAGCTATCACCATTAGCGGAGTCAGATGCCAATCAGTCAACAGAGGAATGACTTAACGTGTGGGTGCAGCCGGTGGAGGCAGAGTTATTGTCAGATTTTGTTTTTCATTGCGCACGGAGGTGAATACGTTTTGAAGCTTCCCCGAAACTCTCAAGAAACGCCCGTCTCATAAAGAAAATATGGATCTATGGATACATTCCTCCTGAAAGCAAAGCGACGAGGGACCAGCAGCTGATTTAATAAACGTTCAGCACACATGGCCGTCAGCTAGCTACGGTCATTTCTTTCTGGTCATAATCATTTGTTATGTTGATTCCATTCAAAACAAATATATGTATTGACTTACTTGCATAGTTTGTGCAAACATTCAACTAAAGTAAAGCGTTGTTATTAATATTTATAAGCTAATAGTTTAATAGAAGTGTTTATTCTAAAGGGTTAGACATTATATAAACATCTAATCTAGCTCTTAGCAACGCAGTAACATGTCCCGCATTGTCCCACATGTTGCTTGTTGGCACCTGGTCACTCTAAGACCAGGACTCTCTTGGAGCAACTTTCACGAAGCCCATTTCCCCGGGATACATTAGTAGTCAGATTGTGATCAAGTCATCTTAGGGGGTCAATGTGTTGCTGATTCCTCACAGATATCCCATCATGCACACACACACTTGTGCGATAGAACGATAGATCTATTAACAAAGCACTTATATACTAATAAAGGGCTGGCTTATCTAAAGCCAGTTGAGTAGCACTTGAAATGTTTGGCTCTATGAAACCTGATGTACTTTATGATTCTGTTTTCTTCAAGGTTGTGTCTTCCTGGTCGAATGCACTTATTGTAAGTCGCTTTGGATAAAAGCCTCAGCTAAATGCAATGTAATGTAATGTCAGTGGAGAGGAACACCAAAAGCTTTAGATCAAACCGACGTGAGGAGTGTTTGGACAGGAGGATTCTGTACGCTGATCCTCTGCTTCCTCTCTCACACTGCAGTGAGACTTCTAGAAGCTCAGTGACACTGCTGAGTCTGCGAAACACTGATGCAACACCCAGGAGACCACGCCCCGAGGACAAGTCTGTTTACTTTCACATATCTTGGACTGAAAGGGAACACGACTAAGGGCCTGTTTTTCATTAAAGAGCCTTACGCTAGTCATTCTCAGGTTCACATCAGTATCGTCTCTGCTGTTAGAGCCAGTGCTTTGTTTTATAAGAAAGACCGCCTAATCGTGACGTCTGTAGTCAACACACTATAAAAGACTACAATTCCCACGGCACCTCCTCTAAAGTGACAGTGGTGGTCAGCAACCTGCTAGAAAGACGCCGTCGAGGAACAGTTTTTAACCGTTCAATTACCCTTTAAGTCAGTGGTTCTCAACTGGTCTGGCCTCGGGACCCACTTTTTACTTTGTCAATAAATCGCGACCCACCATTTTGAAGCACTCAAATCTATTCAACAAAAAATAGTGCTGAATTATATACACTTTTCAGCATACAATATTAATTAAAGTGAAGTACAGTGCAGATATCCCTTATATCCCTTCACAGAACTAAAGTATGCTTTTAAAAAAGGTTTAATGAGATGATGGAATCAAAGCTGAACTATATAAAAAGGCACGCATGCTGAAAACCCAACCCCAGTAGGGGGTCTGGGGCGATTCTCCCCCAGTAGGGGGTCTGGGGCGATTCTCCCCCAGTAGGGGGTCTGAGGCGATTCTCCCCCAGTAGGGGGTCTGAGGCAATTCTCCCCCAGCAGATTTTTAGAAATACTAACATATAAACTACGCATTCTGGGACACTCCGAGAAGAAAATAAATACATCTATTCCTACTCGACATATTAATAATATGTTCTGCCATTGTTTGTTTTTCACGGGCCTTCAAAATAAAAGTTTTTTTTTTAAAAACTCACACATCCGCGACCCACTCGAAACGGATCCGCGACCCACTTTTGGGTCGCGACCCACCAGTTGAGAACCACTGCTTTAAGTTATATAAGCATTACCAAGACAGAAAGAATACCTACGTTGTTTGTTATTTTATTTGAGTTGAGCATATTCGTTTTGAATATTGTAAAGGTCTCTTTTCTTTGCTGCATGTGTAAAAGTTTGTTATTTTTATTTTGAGCAAACACATCGCATAATATCATCCAAACCATCGGAGGCCAAGCAACTCTTCAACTGTGAGTAATATAGAGGAATAAAACGGGTTAAAACATGTCTGTTGAAGGCGTCTAGTGGCTTGAAAGAAAAACAAGGAAGCCACGACATCTACTGTGATATGTATTCATCCTTTAATGTTCAAAAAGCTCTTCCAAAGTGAGGGGTATTGTTATTAAATGTGTCATGATTGTGACAGCAGCCTGGGTGGATATCATGAAGGTTCATTCTGTTCATACGGTCACATGTACCGGCTGTCCTCGGGTCAAATGTCAGGTTTAAGGTTTGTTTCTAGGAAGGTGCCAGAAAAATAATATTGCTTAAAGAGCCTGTGACACGAGTTTCCCCCATCATCCAAACCCATCAATTTGAGTACATATTGTCCCCTTGAAAACCGTTACTGAACTGATTTTGGATATTTGTACTTTGATAACCATTAATCTGCCCTTCAATGTTGACCATTTCCTGGATCTGCTCGGGGATTCTTCAAGTCCTGCCAAATTACGTGTGACGTCATTGCGGGCACAGCGCTCCAGCTGCACCGTTCAGGATCCCAGCATCTGCATGTAAACGCACGATGGCGCACACAGCAGCAAGCTCAGACAGCGATGACAGTTTAATTTTGAACGTGTCTGAGAGCTCATATGAGGCTGAAAGATCGGTTTATGTTGTATCTGTTAGAAGTTTAGGAATTAGGTGCGTCAATATGGGCGATCATACGGTCATGTAGCCAGTGGTGGACTGGGACTAAAAATCATCCCGGGACTCTCGACCGGCCCACTTCGGTACCGCTAGTAAATTGTCAACGGGGGGAGTGGGGGATGTCAGGGGCGGCGGGTGCTGTAGATAGTACATGTAAATATGTACATATTTGTGTCACTGCATCCTGGTAAAATACAAATATAATGCAATGTCTGTGTCTTTGACATTAGCGCTGCCAGCCACCTGTGCCCTGCACTACGAAGCCAGTTCAACATACCCTGGATATGTTTGAGTAACAAACTAACTAACAACAACAAACTAACAAACGAGATCTCGCTAAGCGGTCCTACGACGCTGGTTATCAACTCGGTAAATCAAGCCAGGGTTTCTCTCACCAGCTGAGAGCGCGTTCACGTCTAAGACACGATCTGACTTTAATTACATTTGACTCGAGTGTTTCGTCAACATAAAAATAATACTTCTGCATACAGTATGTGACACTGTAAGTGTTGCACGGCCAGACACGGCAGATAAGGAAATATATGATACATTATATGATCGATGATCTGATTGATGATGTAATATGAATGATAAGTGCGACACGTCGGCGTCTTCTCTGCATACGGCAGTTTAAACTGTATTTCCTTTATCCTGTAATATGACTTGAGAGATTTAAACTCCGCACACTGAGTTGATCTCTTTTCTATAGACGCCGGAGGCGGGCAGCGTCAGGTAAAACAAGTTATGTAGCCTTCCCAAACCTGAGCCTCACGCGCCGCCTCTGGGGGATGTGCTAGTGACTTATCCGACCGGCCCACTTCGGTACCGGCCCATCGGGATTCGTCCCGATGGCCAGTCCGCGACTGCACCCAGCCCACATAAACTGTCAACGGGGGGAGCCTCGCTGCGGGGAAACGGTGGACCTAGTGTCCCGATCGGAGTGGGAATAATAATAATAATAATCCGTGCATTTTATCCATTAATTTCCCCAACATTGTGGTGAAAAAACACACGTTTAATCCATGTTGGTGTACTACTACAAAAAGCATCGGTTTGTTTTCTCATCAGGAAATGCAGACCGGCTCAAACAAACGATTTTTAATCATCATTCTCACGATCATTTAATGTATCATATGTTCGCCGAATTGACATGAAAGCACTAATAAATGTAGTTTCATCCACTTGAGTTTACAACTACAAAAATAATCGATTTGTTTTTATATCACATCCTACGGGAGGAAATTCAGCAGCTCTCACTAGCGATTTTTAATCCTAATGTAATCATCATCTTCACCACGATCATTTATGTTTATGTTCGCCGAATTGACATGAAAGCACTGACACATATGAATATACTGTAGTCAACTTCATTAAAACGTTATTAACGTGCCTAAACTCAGTAATTCACCATTTCTACGCATGACAACACACTTTGTCCGTGTTTGGCTCTCTCGCCGCACAGTGAAGCGTTCCCGCATTGACGTCACTTCCGGCTTCCCCCAAAACTTCAAAATGAGTCGAAGGAATTTCCCCGCGATGTTCGAAATTATTGATATTTAACGGAACGGTATCGCTTTTTCTTTTTTAAACTGACGGTTCGAGATTACTAGTAGCCCAATATTTCATTGCACAACAGTTGTTGGGATGCTGTCACAGGCTCTTTAAGATGTGTGACACAGATTAGAGTGATTATTTACACTGTACACTATGTCGGGAAAATGTGCGCAAAGTTTAAGTAGACATTTGAAACGCATCCATCTGAGGTTTAACTATAAATAAAAAAGGACTCACACTCATGTGCGAGCTCTGGATATCGAGCACGGTGCACATGTCGGTGAAGGAGTCGATGTTCTTCTCGTCCAGCAGGATGTAAACGGGGACTCGGCGCTTATTGGACGCTTCCATCAAATCACAAAGAAGATCCACGTCCGTGAACACGTCCATCACCAGAGCGATCACCTGAAGAGAGAGGACTCTTTAAAGTAAAGACACTACATACTGATATACACCTGAACATCAGCAGGAGAGGACTCTTTAAAGTAGAGACACTACATACTGATATACACCTGAACATCAGCAGGAGAGGACTCTTTAAAGTAGAGACACTACATACTGATATACACCTGAACATCAGCAGGAGAGGACTCTTTAAAGTAGAGACACTACATACTGATATACACCTGAATATCAGCAGGAGAGGACTCTTTAAAGTGGAGACACTACATACTGATATACACCTGAACATCAGCAGGAGAGGACTCTTTAAAGCAGAGACACTACATACTGATATACACCTGAACATCAGCAGGAGAGGACTCTTTAAAGTAGAGACACTACATACTGATATACACCTGAACATCAGCAGGAGAGGACTCTTTAAAGTAGAGACACTACATACTGATATACACCTGAACATCAGCAGGAGAGGACTCTTTAAAGTAGAGACACTACATACTGATATACACCTGAACATCAGCAGGAGAGGACTCTTTAAAGTAGAGACGCTACATACTGATATACACCTGAACATCAGCAGGAGAGGACTCTTTAAAGTAGAGACACGACATACTGATATACACCTGAACATCAGCAGGAGAGGACTCTTTAAAGTAGAGACACTACATACTGATATACACCTGAACATCAGCAGGAGAGGACTCTTTAAAGTAAAGACACTACATACTGATATACACCTGAACATCAGCAGGAGAGGACTCTTGAAAGTAGAGACACTACATACTGATATACACCTGAACATCAGCAGGAGAGGACTCTTTAAAGTAGAGACACTACAATACGGATATACACCTGAACATCAGCAGGAGAGGACTCTTTAAAAGTAGAGACACTACATACTGATATACACCTGATCATCAGCAGGAGAGGACTCTTTAAAGTAGATACACTACATACTGATATACACCTGAACATCAGCAGGAGAGGACTCTTTAAAGTAGAGACACTACATACTGATATACACCTGAACATCAGCAGGAGAGGACTCTTTAAAGTAGAGACACTACATACTGATATACACCTGAACATCAGCAGGAGAGGACTCTTTAAAGTAGAGACACTACATACTGATATACACCTGAACATCAGCAGGAGAGGACTCTTTAAAGTAGAGACACTACATACTGATATACACCTGAACATCAGCAGGAGAGAACTCTTTAAAGTAGAGACACTACATACTGATATACACCTGAACATCTGCAGGAGAGGACTCTTTAAAGTAGCTGGTTGTTGGCTCGGAAAGAACCTCGATTTTATGGGGCCAGAAAAACTGTGAAATAGGACCCGCTAGCCGGAGCTACGCCAAGTGGAAACGCAACCAAAAACGGGCCCGGCACGGCTCGGCACGCTTTAAGCGAGCTCCGCGCTGTCGTGGAAACGCGTCATTAGATACCAGTTTGATGCCATGTTAATTTAACGGACAATAAAGTAATCTGAACATTTTAATGCAACATTTTTCAACTTAGACATCAGGCCAGTAAGGTTTTGCTGAAACATTACTATCCAACCATTAAAAGTCCACCAAAATGAGCAGGACATGCCCTTTTCAATAATAAATGTATCTAAAAAAAGTGATAATTCCCTCTGAATTTGAAGAATATATCTCAATGCAATATCAGTTGAAATAATCGCAGTTAGTCATGTTTTAAATTGCTCAGCCCTAGTTTAATGACACATCTATAGAATGTAGATTACTGAGCATTTATGACTCAACCGTTTAGGAACATAAAGTTTTGCTTGTCTCTGAGAAACACGTTCGACCTGTTCTCAGTCCTCTGGAACATGTGTCTGTCATACCTCTAATGCCTCCACGACCATCAAGTACAGGACAAAAACTCTACATCTTTCCAAGTAGGCTATATGTGTCTAATATCTGGTCAGAATATGTATCTACTCCTGATATAAGACACACTAACTTTAGACGTAACACTGAAGTGAGATATCAGGCCTTGTTTTTAGACAATGCTTCATCTTGTTAAGTCAAAACATCTGATTTTGAGTTGTATCTCAGATTAATTAATTACGATGTGAGGGTCTAAGGACAGAGGGTCTAAGGACAGAGGGTCTAAGGACAGAGGGTCTAAGGACAGAGGGTCTAAGGACAGAGGGTCTAAGGACAGAGGGTCTAAGGACAGGTCTAAGGACAGAGGGTCTAAGGACAGAGGGTCTAAGGACAGGTCTAAGGACAGAGGGTCTAAGGACAGAGGGTCTAAGGACAGGTCTAAGGACAGAGGGTCTAAGGACAGAGGGTCTAAGGACAGGTCTAAGGACAGAGGGTCTAAGGACAGAGGGTCTAAGGACAGAGGGTATCGTATTGTCATACTGATATTCTGTACAAACTGTGAAGTCCACTGAGACAAATGTAACATTTGTGATATTGGGCTATAAATAAACATTGATTGAAACACATTACATATTTATTAGAAAATCACCAACGCACATCAGAAGAAAAGAAAAACAGTTGAGCATTTGCAGCTTATATTGTCACACAACATCTCCTGATTCTGGTCAAATATAGTTCAAAATGAGTTCTCCAGATAATTATCAATCAATGTTTATTTATATAGCCCAATATCTCCAGATAATTACAAGATGTGATTTATCTAAATATCCCTTCTTAGTTCAAGAAATCTAACCAAGCACATGTTCACTTGTTCTATTGGCAGCATGTTTTCCACACTCTGTAACAGAGCATCACGCAGGTTTCTGAAATGACTTTCACAAACTAGTAAACATCGGCATTTCCATTTCACTTTAACTGTGGACGCCTCAATGTGCAAATAAACTCACATGCAACACAAAGAAATGAAAGGGCCTCCATACAGTGTGTGTTATGCAGCATTAATGAACACACACACACACACACACACACACACACACACACACACACACACACACACACACACACACACACACACACACACACACACACACACACACACACACACACACACACACACACACACACACACACACACACCACACCACACACACACACACACACACACACAACACACACACACACACACACACACACACACACACACAGTATTGTATGTTTAGTGTCCCCTGGTCTCCCAGCTGTGTGCGTCACTCTTTAGTGTCCCCTGGTCTCCCAGCTGTGTGCGTCACTCTTTAGTGTCCCCTGGTCTCCCAGCTGTGTGCGTCACTCTTTAGTGTCCCCTGGTCTCCCAGCAGTGTGCGTCACTCTTTAGTGTCCCCAGGTCTCCAGCTGTGTGCGTCACTCTTTAGTGTCCCCTGGTCTCCAGCTGTGTGCGTCACTCTTTAGTGTCCCCTGGTCTCCCAGCAGTGTGCGTCACTTTTAGTGTCCCTGGTCTCCCAGCTGTGTGCGTCACTCTTTAGTGTCCCCAGGTCTCCAGCTGTGTGCGTCACTCTTTAGTGTCCCCTGGTCTCCAGCTGTGTGCGTCACTCTTTAGTGTCCCCTGATCTCCCAGCTGTGTGCGTCACTCTTTAGTGTCCCCTGGTCTCCCAGCTGTGTGCGTCACTCTTTAGTGTCCCCTGGTCTCCAGCTGTGTGCGTCACTATTTAGTGTCCCCTGGTCTCCCAGCTGTGTGCGTCACTCTTTAGTGTACCCTGGTCTCCCAGCTGTGTGCGTCACTCTTTAGTGTCCCCTGGTCTCCAGCTGTGTGCGTCACTCTTTAGTGTCCCCTGGTCTCCCAGCTGTGTGCGTCACTCTTTAGTGTCCCCTGGTCTCCCAGCTGTGTGCGTCACTCTTAGTGTCCCCAGGTCTCCAGCTGTGTGCGTCACTCTTTAGTGTCCCCTGGTCTCCAGCTGTGTGCGTCACTCTTTAGTGTCCCCTGATCTCCCAGCTGTGTGCGTCACTCTTTAGTGTCCCCTGGTCTCCCAGCTGTGTGCGTCACTCTTAGTGTCCCCTGGTCTCCAGCTGTGTGCGTCACTATTTAGTGTCCCCTGGTCTCCCAGCTGTGTGCGTCACTCTTAGTGTACCCTGGTCTCCCAGCTGTGTGCGTCACTCTTTAGTGTCCCCTGGTCTCCAGCTGTGTGCGTCACTCTTTAGTGTCCCCTGGTCTCCCAGCTGTGTGCGTCACTCTTTAGTGTCCCCTGGTCTCCCAGCTGTGTGCGTCACTCTTTAGTGTCCCCTGGTCTCCAGCTGTGTGCGTCACTATTTAGTGTCCCCTGGTCTCCCAGCTGTGTGCGTCACTCTTTAGTGTACCCTGGTCTCCCAGCTGTGTGCGTCACTCTTTAGTGTCCCCTGGTCTCCAGCTGTGTGCGTCACTCTTTAGTGTCCCCTGGTCTCCCAGCTGTGTGCGTCACTCTTTAGTGTCCCCTGGTCTCCCAGCTGTGTGCGTCACTCTTTAGTGTCCCCTGGTCTCCAGCTGTGTGCGTCACTCTTTAGTGAATGAACATCTGAAGAACCAGTTTCTTCCAAATACTGCAATTAGGACATAAAAGTAGGGCTGCTCGATTATGGCAAAAACCATAATCTCGATTATTTGGGTCGATAATTGATATCACGATTATTAAAAACGATTATCCATTTGCTTTGAAAACATGAATTTACTGGAGAAACATTTTTTAAACAGTATGTTTTTAACAGTTGATTCCTCTGAACTTTAAGTATAACTCAACGGAAAGAACAATAATAAAAAATAAAAAAAATAAAAAAAATAATCGTTTTATTTCGATTACGTTGTTTTTGTAATCGTTGCAAGCCATAATCATAATTGCGATTAAAATACGATTAATTGAGCAGCCCTACATGAAAGGAACAAAATAAATGCAATAAAGTAGAGCAAGAGACATAATGGTGTAAGTAGAGGTACGTGGAAAATAAATTGAGATCGGAACAAAAGTGACATTTTTGTTTTTAGTTCTGAGATTAAAGTCAGAAAGAATCATCTCTTTTAGTCAGAACTCCAAAAACAAATGCACACGTGGCACTACTCCTCTTCTGCTTCTAT